AAAGATAAGATCCAATCAAGACTTGATTTGGCTGAGTACTGTAATTGCAAAGAACTGCATTTGACAGCTGATGGAAAGGCACCAGTCCCCATTTTTAGACTACAAGGCGATGTAAAAACAGCTTTCCTAAGATGGCTCGAAAAAGATGTTAAATTTTCTGATGGATATGCATCAAGTTTATCCAAATGTGTTGATTTATCAAGTGGGAAACTAACAGGAATGAAAATTCATGATTGTCATGTTTTAATGCAACGACTACTTCCAATTCCATTTGCCGAGCTGATGGATAAATCTGTTCATGAAGAACTATCAAGTAAGTATTTTCTCTGTTCAAATTTAAAATTACTACTAAAAAATTTTGAATGCATAATCTAAATTTTAACTTTCTTTGTTTATAGGTGTTAGTTTGTTTTTCCGTGATATTTGTGCAAAAACTTTACACAAAGACAATCTTGCACTATTGGAGAAGAACATTGTTGTGGTTCTTTGTAATCTGGATAAAATATTTCCTCTCTCTTTTTTTGATGTTATGGAACATTTAACCATTCATCTGGCACACGAAGCTAGACTTGGAGGACCTGTGCAATTTAGATGGATGTATGTTTTCGAACGATATATGGGACATCTGAAAAAAAAGTAAACAATAAAGCAAAATTTGAAGGTTCTATCGTTGAACAGTATGTCAACGAAGAAATTTCTACTTTTGGTAGTTATTACTTTGAGCCACATATCAACACAAAAAGCCGAAGAGAAGATCGACACTATGATGGGTGTAATCAGGAAGATTTAAACCAGAACGATGAAGTGCCAGATATTTTTAATCAGCAAGGAAGAGGAAGTGGTAAAGAAAAAGAAATATGGCTTCAAGATAAAGACTACATTATTGCGCATACATATGTTCTACTGAATTGCAAAAAAGTAAGACCATTTGAAAGGTAAGTATTATTAATAAATACATATATTAATTCATATATACATAAATTTTAATATAGAAACACATTATAAGTTTTAAGAATTTTTTTGTAGGTTATTTGATGAGAGTATGACTTCTTTATATCCTGAAATAAGTGAAAATGATCAAAATCAGCTTAAAGCAAAAGAATTTGCAAAGTGGTTAGAAAAGCATGTAAGAATTTATAAAAATTCATTACTCTTATATTTTTCATAATTTAATTTATATTAATTTATTGTTTTGTCGATAAATGTCAGGTGGAGAATAATAAGATTAATACTCCATGGTTACAAAGTCTTGCACATGGTCCTATGACAAAGGTTACTTGTTGCCCAATATACTTTTGTCGGGGATATATATTTCACACATATGACCATGGAAAAGACAAGACTAATGCCAATTATGGAGTTTGTATTAAAGACATAACATCTCAAGGAACAAACAGAGAACCTGATTACTATGGAGTATTACAAGAGATTTTTGAGCTTCATTATTCAGGACCGGTTCATCTTAAAGTTGTGCTCTATAGATGTGATTCGTATGATTCAATCATTGGAAAAGGTATACGGGTGAACACGTCTGGGATTATTGATCTTCCTACTGGAAAGCATTATGGAGCATATGATCCCTTTATTTTAGCTTCACAAGCAGATCAAGTATGTTACGTTCCATATCCACGAGTAACTCATAAGAGAGATTGTCACTGGAAAGCAGCTATCGTGATTCAACCAAGAGGGAAAATATTCATGAATCAAAATTTGGATATCTCTGCAATGCAACATAGTGATGACAATTCGGTTGTTTCTACTGATCTACTACAAGTCGAAACATTAGTTAATTTACAAGGTCAAACTGAAAATCTTGAAGATGTTGAAGAGGACGAAGCAGGATTGAGATCAGATGCTGAGTATGAGAATAATGATTACGAGTTAACAGATGGAAAATTTCCAGAAATACCACTTTCAAGATACCACTTTTCAACTTTACACTAACCAACTTTACCCTTAAAATTTTAATACTAAAAATACTATTAGAATTTAGGGTTTAGGATTTTGGGTTTAGGATTGATAGTTTAGGTTTTAATGTTGATTTTTTAGGGTTTAGGGTTTACTTTTTAGGGTTTAAAGTTTAGAATTGATATTTTATGGTTTAGGGTTGATTTTTAGGGTTTAGGGTTTACTTTTTAGGGTCTAGAGTTTAGAATTAATGTTTTAGGGTTTAGGGTTAATATTTTATTTAATATTCATTTTATGTTTATATATAAAGAATAAGGATATAAGAGTATTTTATCCTTTAATAAAATGTGTATTTTTGAAAATGTTCATTTGTTGATGGTAAACATGAAAAGTGGTACCACCAAAGTGGTATAATTGAAATTCTCCCATAACAGATGAAGGATCTGAATGAATTTCGTGTCATGGTTTTATTTATTTTAAGATAGACAACGTTTTATGGTTTTGGAATTGAAACTGAAGGAGCTTTATGGTTTTGGAATTGAAATATACACTATTTTATTTATTATCTTAGATGTCTTGCAATATTATAATGTTCTTGTGTGGACACCAAAAGCTCACCGCTTCTGTTATTGTTATTATTTTGTTTTTGATTCAGACACGAAACCGTAAACCACCAAGTCACTCTTCTTCCACTTCTTCTTCTCATCTTAGAAACCGTCTCATTCAACGTTATTCCTCCACCTCTGATTCTTCCTTTGCTAACTCTGGTGCCGGAATTGGCTCTCGATCTGACGCCTAGTCGGAATTTCTTCAACTCGAGTTTAATCGGATCCAGGAGCTTCGAAACTGGACCGCATGTTCCTTACCTGTCAGAGGAGCTTCTCTGCATGTCTATGGAAGCGACTCAGGTTTTCTACTGTTAAGGTATAATTAGTAGATCTGATCGCCATAGACCAGATCTATTGAAGTTTGAATGGTCAATTATAGGGATTTCGAAACTGATATCTATATTTGTTTTGTTGACAGTGATAGAGAGTATCAAAGAGGAGATGGAGTTGCTTGGTACCCTGATGGCGATACTCTGGTCAGGCACAAGTACAATCCTCTCACTGCTTACGCTTTCGGTATTCCCTTCCAACTCTATTTTTGGAATAATAGATAAATATCGTTTGTGGAGATCATATCATTTTGTTCCACCACTGCTCGTTCTAATTGATTATCGTATTTCGTTATCCTTCACAAGTATGTTTCACAGCTATCAAAGCCTTAGCCTTTATCCTTACTGTTAGGCTACTTACTGTTAATATTTGGCTTAATGATTCTGATTGTTGTGTGGCAATTCATTGACAAAAACATAAATTCACCAATCTAGTGGATTCTACTCACTTTGAACTCTCTACCTAGACAGTTTGGAAAGAGACAAAGACTTCTACTTCTCTAAAGTACGAGATTTAGAGATTCTGTGTCAGAATCAAGACACTTGGGCTTGGTAGTGGTTTCACTGTATGTTTCTTTTCTTTGGCATGAGGGAAGACTTCTTATTTACAATCATTGGTTAGATTAGATCTGTGTTTAAAATGGCGCTCGCCTTTTGCGCCATGGCGCAAGGCGAGGTCAGGCGAGGGGTCTATTGCCATGAACCTCCAAGGCGAGGGTATGGTTCCTATGGCGCTCGCCATTGTGCGCTTTTAGCTTAAATCTAGGGCACCAAAAGCGCTTGAAAGGCGCGCCTTATAGATTCCCATCAAAACATTATGTTTTGACCTAACTCAATTCATGTCCTATCTACGTAATCGTGACATGGCCGCTGTCTGTTACATATTCTAGGTGAAGAAGACGACTAAGTGTAACCTAATTAACCCTAAATAATAACTCTACCCGGTTTAATACACTAACCCATGTGTATTTTCAATTTATTTCTATGAACCAAGAAGAAACAAAGTATGAAGGTTTTTTTAACCAATTGAAACAACTTTCCAGAACTGAAAAGTATCCCAAAGGCGAGCGCTTTAATGCGCCATGGCGCAAGGCGCAAGGCTAAGAGCATATCGCCTTAGTGCGCCTAGCGCTTTTTAAAACACAGGATTAGTATGGTCTCTAGCTCACATAGCTTTGTCATGATTTATTGGTTAGAACTGTTTCTAGCTTACACTGGTTTTTGATTATTTGATTCACTGGTTAAAGCTGTTTCTAGCTCACATAGATTTGTGATGATTTTATTCACTGGTTAGATCCGTATCTGAGATTATTTCTTGTACCAGATATCATATCTTGCGATTTTAACCAATTTGAATATTCTTGGTTTGTTTTGTTTTGTTTATGTATGCTTTTTTGTTTTTAGGACTAGACTTTTTGGGAATGAAATTGGGAGCGTGCTTGGTGGTGGTCTTGCACCAGGTCTGTATGATTTTATTATTTTTGTCTTTTTTCTTTTCACCGTTAACTTACTATGGTGCTATTCTGTAGGTTTACTGGTTTCTGGTTTCTCATAGCATGTGTTTTTGATTAGTTTCTGGTTTCTCATAGCATGTGTTTTTAACAGGAATATGTAAATACTGGGCTTTCATCTAAGGAGGAAGGGGAAGACCTTATACTAATCAAGGTGTTGCAGATTCCGAAGGAATTGGTTTTAGCCAGTTCAAAGCATTGAATAGACTAGCGAGGAGGTATACTTTTTTATTTTATTTTTTTGTCTATCTTTTTCTTAATGGTGCCTTACCTTCTTAATGGCACCTTAGTTTCTTAATGGCGCCTTTCAAGTTATAAGAAGATATTTAGTTTTTTACTTTAGAGCAGCAAAACCTAAAAATTAAATGGAAACCGGGAAAATCCCTTAAAAAGTGGTAAGAATATTCAGAAATATCCTAACACTTAACTAGTATATAAAGGGAGTGATATTAGTTACCTCTTCTCACGTTAAACCTAAGAACCTAAACTACATCTTAGACAAGCAAAGCCATCAAGGTCTTAGATCTCTTTGTTTTTCTTTTTTTTTTGCAGTTAGTCGTTTTGTTTTGTGTATTGTTTCTTTTGTCATGATCTAATACTTTTTCACTCCATCTTTTTCTATGATTTCTTTTGTACTACTATAGATGTGTCCACCAATGATGTTAGGCGGTCGCTTGTTTGGAAGATCATCTCTTCAATCGGTTGGTCTCCGAAGACAGAGGGAAGGAGTTGCTGCAAATGGCCAACCAAGTGAACAAAGGGAAGAAGTTGTAGCTGTTGAACGAGATTCTCGAGTGCTTCATCCATCTAGAAGGGATGGAGCTAAATGGTATTCTTATGTACTCTGAATTAATCTTCTCTAATTTACAAAGTATATAGGTAACAAACTCAACTATATATATGTATCAGGTTCAAGAACAACACAGAAATATCAACACGTGTAAGGAAAATCATTGAAGGATGTTTTAGAGGACCATGGTACAGCTGGAGAAAATTACCCCAGTTTTAAAAGGATGCTTGGTATTCAACATTTAAGGTGTTGTGTTTCTATATGTTTTTAATATTCAATACATCATCCTTTCATCCACATAAAAGTTCTATTTTTCAGAACGATTCATTCATATCCCGTTTTTTGTTTGTTTTAATAACTCTAAACACATTGTTTTGATTGTAGACTAAGTAGGAGTGGAACGTCGCCATCGAAGATCTTGTGAGAGCTAACTTTGATGAACTAGCTGCCACTCTCCTCAAAGGAATGGTGAGCCTTGGAAAATCCAAAGGAGAGAAACCTGACTGGATTCTTTCAGAATATTGGAGCGTAATGTCAGACTACTGGAAGACACCAAAATCCAAAAAAAAAGTGAGAAAGCTCGTCAAGCTCGTATGTTTAATCGTGATGGTTTAGGTCCACACAGCCACAGATCAGGCTCACGTTCCTATGCCAAAGTTCAAGATAATCCGGTAATGTATATATTATTTTACTCAAAACGAATTTACTTATGCTTTGAAAATGAGTTTACAGCTTATGTTAATTCCTTTTTAGGTGGCAAATAATGAAGACTCTTCCTTCATCGCTGTGCTGAAGAAAACCCACCAGAAACCTGATGGAACATATATTGATGAAAGAGCACGCTTAGTTGCAGAAAAATATGATGAATATGTGCAAGAAAGATTGTCAATGGTTGAGCCTTCTAATGGAGAGGTTTTGAGAGATCCTCTTACTATAGAGGAAAAAAATGAAATCTATATGAAGGTAATTTTCTATCACATTTCAAATTTGGTTGTTTACTGTTTTTTTTAGATTCGATTGATTCTATTACACAGCTATGCTTAATTAAAGTTCTCTGTGTATTCTAATATAGATGTGTTTATGTAACTTATTTTTTGGTAGGTTGCTGGAATATCAAAACAAGGTCGGGTATTTGGACTTGGATCACTTCAAAGTGGAGTTTATATGCCACTGGATGGTTCTACAGTTTCCCCACAAGCTGATGGAGTTGATGGTACTTTAACTCACCGTGTCAAAGAGCTGGAGTCAGAGTTGCAAAAGAGTAATGAAGAAAAAGGTCAGTTTCAGAATAGGATTGAGGCAATGGAGAAAGCATTGAAGACTGCTTTTGGTGAAAATGTGTTTACTCCAGCGGATACAACTAAACCATGAAGTCTTTTTCTCCAAGTTGTCTTTGGAGTTTAGTAACTTCGTGCTTTCTTTTTGGTGTTCTTAGCTTGGTTTTCATTTGGTTTTCTTTTGGTTTTCATTGGTTTATTTTTGCAATTTCAATTTATTTATTAAACTTATTGTCTTATGATTCAGCTTGAGAATTAAATAAAACTATGCATTTTATTATAATTTTTTGTATACATCATATTATTTACAAATTTGAGATTTTATTTCAGTTGTATATATAATTTCTATTTAATAATCTAAATATAAATTTTAAGATATAAGTGACATATTTAAATGATAAAATAAAAAAAAATGTGTCATAAAATTGTAACCAAGTTAACTGAGACGTTACTATTTTACGGTCATAGTTTGTAACGTTTAGTTACATTGGTTTAGTAATAAAAAGTGACAGATTAATAACATAATGATTGTTACAAAATACAACAATTTTGTAACACATTTATAGTACATAATTAAGACGGATAAATATCCATTCTTTCGTCATTTATTATTACGTTTTGTGACTAGTTTTCTCATCACAATATGTTACAAAATTGAGACTTTAATATTGTAATGAATAATGACGGTTTGGGACAATATATAAAGTCAGAATTGGTGACAGTCAAATGACTATATTATCGTCTATAGTGGTGACATTTTGTGACAGTAGTTCCGTCACAACAAGTGACATTGTTGCCTCATTAAAACAGTCACAAATTAAGACAGTTTGAGACAATTTAATAAGTAAGAAATTGTAACAATTTTGTTACTAATAGACTGCGTAACAATGTGCGACAATTTGTGACAAAAAAATCAGTCGCAAGAAATTGTGACATTTTTGTTACTCCAGAATATTTGTGATACACGTATTGTAACCATTAAAATTTAGTAACAAAAATGTAACAATATAATTATTGTTACAAATTCTTTTCTATTGTGACGGAAAATTTCGTCACAATACTCTCATTTTCTTGTAGTGATTATGTTAACGTAATGGGCTTATTGATCTAAATCTATCCTAGATTTATTTGTTATTCATATATACACGATATATTTGTTTATTATTCCTATTTATTTTATAACAGAAAATCCTCGAAACCTTAACAATTGTTTTGATTTAGTTTATTTAGGTATGTGATTGCATATAAAATTAGTAAAGAATTCATAATTCATAGATTCATAACGCTTTCAATCAAAACATTATAACCACCTAATTTGATGCGATTGTCGAATTTTGACGTTATGACTTTAACTACAGTAATTACAAAAAAATTTGGATGTTCCCAATAATCTCCCACTTGTACTAGAATCATCTATTCTCATTATCCCTTTGTCTCTATATCTCAACCTCAGCATAAGGCAAGAACTAGTGTCATCTTTATTAAGCTAGATCACGTTTATCAAACTCTTATTTATATTGATAAAACAAGCAACTAACATTCACCTCGTTTGAGCATGTCCATGCATTTCTCAGTATCAAATCTTCGATAGGCCCAGAGATTATCTCCCGTTATATGGAATGGTCAAATCTCATCATGTTCCGTCCATGTTCCTTACAAACTTCATATAAAACCTAATCAATGCTTTCATAATCACCAGTTATTGCTGACATTTGACATGGTCAAAGTGAACTAATCCATAAATAGGTCAAAGGACTATACTCAATAGTCGTAAAGAGAACCTCTTATGACACCCATATAAGAATCTTGTAGAGTTCTCATTAGCGGATCAGTCTGATCATGTATTCTCTAACACATCTATCTGATTGACTTCAATACAACATATTGAATGACTCCATGAAACTTAGTTGATATCACTCAAATTACCCTAAGGAGTCACTACAAGAAAACTCGTCCATTACTAGGACGGGTTTTCCTCGTTATTTCCTAGTAAATGGCCTTTTACTAGGAAATAACGAGGAAACGCGTTTCCTCGAAACACGTTCATCCTAAAGCCTTTTTCCTCGTAAGGTCCTAGCGAATTTACGAGGAAACATTTCCTCGTAAAGGCGTTGTTAGATTTTCCTGGTAAGGTCCTCGTAGCATTTCCTCGTAAGCTCGTAGTAAGCTTTTTCTCGTAAGCTCGTAGTAATACGTTACGAGGAACTTACTAGAATTAACTACGAGGACATTACTTGGAAACCATTATGAGGATTTTGCTTCGAAATATTTTTTTCCCTATTAAAAAAGATAATTATAAATATAAATAATTTATTTTTTAAAAATAAAAAAACAAATTATAAATTTAAAATAAAATAAAAAATATTTTATAAATAACTAAATAATATAAAATTAAGTTTTAAAATTCATAATACACAATTAAAAATAAAATAAAAAACCACGGATGCTGGTCGTGAAATTGGCGAACGAACTCGTCTTGGCTCGCCAAATCCTGCTCCTCTCCAAAGTTGGTTGCCGGCTGTGACTGTGATGGTGGATGCTGTTGGGTTGGAATCCCTCCGCGTTCCCGTCTCTGACACAATATCTCCTCCAATTGCGGGTTTCCAACCGCCATAATGTCGAGGACATTGGTGAGAGAAGTCACATGCTCGGTGAGCGAAGCCAACTGCGAGCGTAGCTGAACATTGACATCCTGGTGCTCCTGATGATAAGACGATGTCGCTGCAGGGACATCGTTAACCGAGCCAATCCCGACGACACCCCCTTTTTCCTAGGGGCGACCTGTAAAAAAAACATTAATAACGTTAAGAAAAAAATTAAAATATATAATAAAAATTAATAGTAAAACAAATTATTTACCTCCTCGTAAATCTTATCCACTTCAAGAGTGGATAATATGACTGGAGTCCCAGTCTGCTGAGTCAGCTGGGTCTGGCGTTCATCAACTCGAGCAACAATCTTGTTGTAGATCCGCTCGGAAGCAGGATCTACAAACTGCCCAGCCTTGTTCTGGTGGGTCCTCTCGTAAAGGTCTTTCAGAGTTGGAAGAACTCCTGTCTCTTTAGCCTAAAATTAATTTTTAAAATTAAATATTAATTTGGAATATTCAAATAAAATAAAAATTAAATAGTTTTTAAAAATCATCTTACCATGTCTAGACGAACTCCCCCGTGAGGTTTTCGACCCGTGGTGTGAAGCATCTTCGTGTTGCCATGTTCGTCTCTGGTCATGCGGTTCTCAGAGTATGTGTTGGAGGTTCTGACCGAGTCCGGAAACCCCCAATAGCTGAGGAGGCCATCCCACACCGTGGTTGTGAGGAAATCGGGTTTCCCACCGCGTAACCATCCACCAGATTTAAAAAAAAAATAGAATTAAAGTCAATAATATTTTTAAAACTATATATATACTGTAATTTATAAATCTATACCTGATAGTCTCCCTTCCAGTTGTAGACCATGTCGAGCAATCGTGCTCTTGCCTTGGCCTCAAACTCCTTCTTCACCCACTGGTGAATCCCAATAGACCAACAATATTTTTGCTGTAACCAGAAAAAATAAGAGACGGATTAGTTCAATAATATTAATAATTTTAAATAATTAAAAATAAATTAAGTCATTAAACTTACAGCGAACGATTTGAACCACGTCTTTTTTGTGTGGCTCGCCGTCATCTTCCAGTTTGGAGCTGCATCGAGAAAGTATCCCTTGATACAGTCCGTGACGCTAGTTCCGACACAATTGTCAAGACCAAACCTGTAAAGACACAAAATAAATCATTAATTAGATTAATTTGTAAATATTTTGTTAATTAAGAAATAAATTTAAAAAAAAATTTAAAAATTAAAACAAAACATAATATGTTTTGACAGTCCCGTCGGATAGGATCTAACTCTGCCAGCCCTTCTCTGCCTGGAAGGGCCAAAATATCCTCCACCGTGTACACCGCAAAGGGTGCGTTCGGCGGCACCTGCAAATCGGGATGAACCCCGACCGGTGGAGGAGGAGGAGGTGGTGGTGGAGAAGGAGGTGGTTGCATGGACGCCGTAGAAGCTCCCTGAGTCTCGGGAATCGAAGATGAACCAAGAGCTGACGAAGATGAACCCGGAGCATCCTGACGCCCAAAAAGATCTCCGTAGTGACTCCCCTCGAGAGACGACGTCCTCTTACCAGCAGCCCTAGCAAGCTTGCTCGTTCTAGGCATCTATATTTTTTTAAAAAAAAATCAAAACATTAATTCCCGTATAATTTAAAAAAACAGTAAAAAAAAGTAAACCAACCTAATCTAAATTACCTAAACTAACCACCTAATCTAAATTACCTAAACTAACCACCTAATCTAAATTCCCTAAACTAACCACCTAATCTAAATTCCCCAATCTAATCACCTAACTTTGAATTAGAGAGAACCTTTAGAGGATTAAGAGAGAAGCTTACTAGAAAATGAGAAACCGGATTGCTCGAGTATATATAAAAAATTTTGTTTCCTCGTAAAGCCCTAGTAACGTTACTAGGACCTTACAAGGAAATATCTATGCCCGTGTTTTTATTTTCTCGTAAGGTCCTCGTAATGACGTTACTAGGGCTTTACGATGAATACTCTTTACGAGGAAATATCTATGCCCGCGTTTTTTTCCTCGTAAAGCCCTAGTAATACGTTACTAGAACATTACGAGGAAACGGCTATGCCCGTGTTTTCTAATACTAGGGATTTACGAGGAAAGGGTTTATAAATCCCAAAAATCGAAACCCCAAACCCCAAACCACAACTTCCTTAACTTATAACCTCTTCTACAACCAAACTCCTAACCTCTTCTACACATAAACCCCAAACCCCAAATGCAAATTGATTTGTGATTAAACAAACTTAAAACATATATAATGCAAATTCATTTTTGTGATTAAACAAACTTATAAACATACATAATTCATTCGGATACATTGTCGTAATCGGTTGAGACATCATCATTTTCTAAGAACTCGTCGTCTACACCTTCGTCTATGGAGTGATCAGGAACAGCTTTGTATTCACGATTATGCGGATCAATGAGTAGGAACTCATCAATTTCTGCCTCAGCTTCCTCGATCTCATTGGTGT